CTTTATTGTTCATATTAACATTCATCATCTCTTTCATTTCAATTTAACTCCTTTAACACTCTTATATCTCTTGTCATTATTATTGTCTAACTCTTCAAACCTTATAAATTTCACATCATCTACTTCTGGGCTTCTTATTGAATTTCTATTTTTAAACTTTTGAACTAGACAATCATGAGCTATATGTTCTAGTTTTCTGCATTTATAGCACAGCTGAGGCCTAAAACAACGTTGTTTCACTTGCACCAACTTCTGGTTTTTCACAATTTCGACAACCACTCTAACCACAACACCAATTAGCAATACCAGACTTTCAGACATTTTCTCTTTATCAACACCAAGTAGGCTCTTTATTTTGTCTTCTATTGCCCTTACCTATTCACTAACAATATTCTTTTAATTTTATTCACAATATTTAATCATGAACTTTCAACACAACAATTGTTACAGGCACACCTTAAATCATTGATCATGGTAAGTTTCAATTGCTAGAACTTTCTTCATACTGTACAAGTTCAATTTCAACTGAATTCAACAAGTAGAACTGTTTAATTACTCAAGTCCTTGTGTTGCATTGATTCTCAGTTTACAGAGTCTTGTTTATTTTCACTTAAACAGAACTCTCACTTGGTGCTGGTGTATTGTACCAGATACTGCCACTTCTTCACTTTGATACTACAACTACTATAAGAGCTACTACTCTGTTTCTTACTTAGAACATCCTTCACAAAGCCAAACTTGATTTCTTTATTTATTATTTAGATTGTGATTTATATATTACAGGATTATCTTCAGATATATATTTATCCAGATTACACACATTAGATTATCACCTAATTAAACTTTTAATTAAATTATGCAAATTTCAATTATGCCATTTATGCAAGTTCTGATCTAATTAAACCCTTGCATAATAAATTCCTAGATACCAAAATATACTGTGACAATAGTATAGAAGATTATTGGTAGGAGTACTATAATTAATCTATGAGAATATCTACATAGATATCTTTTTAATGGCTTTGCCAAAGGGTGAATAGGTATTGTCTTTGTGTTGCTAATCAGGAAGACCACAGCTGCAACTATATGTGTATAGTAATCTGGGATAGCATGTAGCTACTTGTAATAAAGTGCTATTGTTTTGTGAATTTATTAGCAGATCTTGGTGGTATATTATGTTGTTGTTTCCATTTTGCAAGTTTTGCATAGTATAGTTTCTAAATTTGATTATATATATTTTGTAATAGTTGTAAAAGTAATTTCATTAGCTATTTTGTTAAAGTTAGTAAATTTGCGTATTGTTTCTATAAGTGCTATAAGAATATAGTCCTGAATTGTTGTATATATGTTTGTATTAGAGTATATATAGTAATTAGCAGAAAAATATTGATAGTTGATTAGTTTATTATGAAGATCTTGAAGCTGCATATTTGTTATATCAAGTCTATTAGCATAAAAAAATTTTGTGTTGTATTGGTAATAATAGAGCTTAAAGTAGGTGTATTTGGGCATTTAAGCCAATGTAAGTAATTTTTTTGTATATTACATGTTATATAGTTTGTTTGTAGGAATAATATAAAGTATAGTGAATGTAAGTGTGGCAAACTTAGAAGCATATCAAGTAGCAGTTTGATTTTAAAAGTTTTTCTTGACATAATTGAAAGCTAATATATAGTGCTAATTTTTTATAATTGTTATTTAAGTAAAACCATGTTATATTCTAGCTGATTATGAAAATAAGGATATAATATGTTTCATGAAATACTGTGAGGACCGTATAGCAATAATGTAGGCATTACATATATTTTTAATATATCTACATGTTAGTTGCTTAATTGCGAATTTTTATATTAAAATAATATGATATATTATAGATATTGTTGTGTATTAGTTCAAGTATAATTAGTTGATTAGAGCTCATTTGCTGTATTATTGAATATATCAGTACTATATACAGTGACTTTATAAAGATTAATAGTAAGTTTATATGTTGTAATAAGATTAAGTAAAGTGTGCTAAATAGGCCAGTAGTTGTAGAAGTAGCATTTGTTAGGTGTAGATGGTGAGTTGATAAGTCTGTGATATTTTGATATTATAGATTGCATTGGGAAATTTTTTAAATAGATTTCAATCAATATATAGCATTTAATCGATTTATATCGATTTAGAAACTTCGATTGACATCATTAATAATCATAAGTTATCGAAATTTGGTATATATTAAAAACTAATAGTAAACGATATATATCAAAAATTCGATAACTAACAAAATAAAAAAATCGTTTAATGTAAACTATCGATATATAGTATACTATGTTATATAGCAAATATAAATGATATATATCAAAATTTGATAACTATCAAAATAAAAAAATCGTTTATTATCATTATAATATAAACTATCGATATATAGTATACTATGTTATATAACGATAGATAACTCTATCTATTGATTTATTAATTTTGATAGTAAGCAATTTTTAGATATATAGCGATTACTATCAATTTCAATATATACCAAATTTCGATAAATTATAATTATTAACAATATTAATCGAAATTTCTAAATCGATACAAATCGATTAATTGTTATAT